TCTGGGGGCCAGCGTGGGCGTTTTCGATCGACCTTTCGGCGGCTCGTGGCCTCATGGACTGTCCAGGGAGGCCTCTTGGTGCCCTCTTGGCTTGTTTTTTGTTGGGGGGGGTCTGGACGGTCTTACGGGCCCTCTTGGGTCGTCTGGGAGCCCTCTTGGGGGTCTTGTGGGCCGTCGTGCGGCGACCCAGAGGCTTCTTGGGCTCCTTGGGACGCTGCGAGCTTAAACATGCAGGTTTTCCCAGGGAGATGGGGCGATGTTTGCCCTCTGAGGTCGTCTTGGGACGCTTCTCGGGGCGTCTTGGGGGCTTCTCGGGCCGTCTGGAGGCCAGCGCGGGCACCTTCGGTAGATCTCTCGGCGGTCCGTGGCCCTCTTGGACCGTCCAGGCGGCCTTTTGGTCCCTCGTGCCCTGTGGCCTGTTTTGGGGGCCCTCCCTCCTCCCCCCTCCTCCCCCTCCTCCCCCCTCCTCCCCCCTCCTCCCCCCTCCCCCCTCCTCCCCCCTCCTCCCCCCCCCTCCCCCCTCCTCCCCCCCCCTCCCCCCTCCCCCCCCCCTCCTCCCCCCTCCTCCCCCCTCCTCCCCCTCCTCCCCCCTCCCCCCCCCCTCCTCCCCCCTCCTCCCCCCTCCCTCCCCCCTCCTCCAGGCTCCCTGGGGAGGGGTTGGGGGAGGGGAAAACACTTCACACGCCGATGGGCGGATGCGTGCCTCCTTGGGCCCTCTTGGGGATCCTGTTGCAGCGCTCTTGGGGTTTCTTTGTCGCCTCTTGGGCTGTCTTAGGGCCATCTTGGGGCCATCTTGGGCGTCTTGGAGCGCTCATGGGCTGTCTTGGAGGCCTCCTGGGCGTCTCTTGGGGCCCTCCTGGCCTGTCTTGGGGCCTGATGGCCTTTGGAAAACCATGCGACGGAGCCCAAGAGCGCGCGAGAGCGCGCGGAAACGCTGGGAAAATTGGAGGGTTTGGGCCCTCCAGCCCCTTGAGTACTATACCCCCCAGTCCTGAGTACAGAGAACAGGGAACCCACGGCTGACCCGACGCCCGGGCCTGGCGCTTCGCCGGCGACAGCCGCCGCCGGTCTTCTCTTGAGTTAATATACTGGCTACGTGCTACCGGCACGCCGACAGAGGCAAGGCCACGGGCTACGGCCCAGCCCGCCCACCTCTTTTTTTTCACCCTCTGAGGACACTCCATTTTGTGCCTCGAGGCACGGTGGCGGATTTAGACTACCAAGTTAGTTCTTTGTTGTGTACGATTGCGGCTCAGCGATTCGGTCCACGATCTCGAATTTGGCAAGTCGAGCACGGATCTCGAATTTGGCAAGTCGAGCAGGGGAATCCCGAAGTGACTCCTCCTCCTCCTGTTCCTCAGTGCTCCCCCCCTCTGCCTCGCCCCTCTCCCCTGCCCCTCCTCCAGCTCTTCCTCCGTCTCTCTCTCTCCATTCCCCTCTCTACTCCTGCAATGTCTTTCCAGCTATACGAGCCCACTCCTCCGCCCTCTTTCTCATTCCCCTTCCTCTTCCACTGTTCACCATTACAATTATTGTCCCCCGATCGTGCCAGAAGAGCCTCAACAGCTGGGCCTACGGGGTCGGGTTGCAATCCAAGAGCCGCAGAAACTCTGAAGACATGTTGTTTCATGAGCACGCTGTAAACTTTCTGGCATCGAGCTACACCACACTCATTTCTATACCGCTGGGCGTGTATATGGGCGGCCGCTTTTGCGCTGGCACGTGCGTGCATGTGCGCGGCATGTGCCCTGAAGGTGCGCGGCATGTGACCGGCATGTGCGTGCCTTCTGGGTTCGATGTCCTAGTGTGCATGCGCGCCTGTGCACGGTCATGTGTGCTGTGTCTGGTGCATCATTTGTCTGTACATGCTGGCGCACATGCCAGCACTTGCCTGCACATGCGGAAGGTGTGCGATTATTGCAGATCTGCCAGCGGCACATGCACGCACATGCCTGTGCAATCCTTCTGTGGATGACCGCGCGGGCCCGCATATGCACCCACATGTTTCGAAACGCGCGTCCGCGCATGCTCGCACACGCCGACACCCCCGGATATGTTTTGGATTCTTAGAACAGCCTCCAGGGTTCCGTGGCCTTCGCGGAGTTTCCTGGGAGGGATCTTCAAATCTTGCGCGTCATAGTTTTTTTGGGGCTTGTCAGAGCTCCCTGGGGCTTTCATTCTTCGGCTCTGCGGCATATGCGGGCATGTGCGCGTATACCTCTGGAGTTTCTCCAGACTGTGCATCCGACTGTGTATCGGACCGCGTGACATGTGCGCACATGTGCGGCCAGATTGTTGATATTTTTGCAAGGTTGCCTGGGCATGTGCATGCGACTGTGCGGCATGTGCGTGCATGTGCGGCCCTTCGCTGGTCTCAGAACGAACGTGAGCACGATAGAAACGAGCACCATAGAAACGATTGTGGTGTAGGGACTTGTTCATCTCAAGCGGCGGCCAGAGGGGGGGAAGGTTGCCGCGAACTTGCCTCGGTACCCTCATCTCCTGGCAGCGGGGTGCCAGCCTGCTCGCGTCGGGGCCGCTTGCGAGGAGGGACGCTGGCCAGGGGCTGGTCAGTCGGTTGTTCTTTGCTTGGTCCTGCGCCGCTGGCGTCCTCTTCGCCCGTCCCTCGTCCCTCGGGCCCCGTCGCCAAGCGGTGCGGTGACCACACCGCGTGGCGAGCCGGTGGGGGTTCGGGGGGGCCGAGCGGTTTTGGGACTCGGGCCGTTCTCCGAGGACGTCTCGGGCGATAGGGGGCCTCCGAGGTCCCGACGCCGGGCGGGGACGGACCGTGCGGTGAGGTCGCTGGGGGGTTCGAGGTCACTGCCACGGTCTGTCGCTTCACCGCTCTGGGACGCCCACAGCTCCTCCTCCTCCTCGCCCGTCCCCTTGCGCAGACTTCCTCATTCCCCTGTGACCGTCCCTCGCCCTGCTCGCCTCGTCCCCTGGGAGCTACGGGGGAGGAGGGAGGGGGGAGGGGGACGAGGAGGAGGAGGAGGAGGAGGAGGAGGAGGAGGAGGACGAGGACGAGGAGGAGGAGGAGGAGGAGGAGGAGGAGGAGGAGGAGGTGGAGGAGGAGGGGAAGAACGAGGAAGAGGAGGAGGACCAGTGGAAACCAACGACGCATCCACGATGTTGCAATGAGCCCTCCCTCCACGTTCCCTCTCCACCGGCCCCTACAAGAATTTACTTCATTGCGGGAAATGTCCCATTGAAAGGCAACCGTCCGACAATCCAGAAGTGTGCCAAAATGCAATTCCTGGGACTCCAGCGCCGCGAATCAACATGATTCTTGCGTCTTGCCAGCCCTAATTCGCACCATAACGCCATTCCTTGGACTTCAGCTCCGCGAATAAGCGTGATTGTTGCGTCCTGACACGCCTAAATCATGCCAGAACACAATTCCTGGGATTTCAACCATTCGGATCTTTGAAGCTGCTGCGTACTTGTAAGATGATTGTGCGCGGCGCAAAGACGAGAACCACAGTCTGAAAGCTGCCCTCTCTATATCCGTGAAGCTGATCCGAGCTTCCGCGATGAATGTGCGCGGTGCGAAAGCGAGCGCCACATGTTGAAAAGGAGCCGGCCTTTACCATGGAAGCTGTTGCACACTTGTAAGACCAGTGTGCGCGGCGCGAAGGCGAGAACCACATTTTGAAAGCGACCCTCCCTCCACCCGTGAAGTTGTTGCAAACTTCAAGACGAATGTGCGTGGCGCTGAGGCAATAATCCCATTTTGCAAAGGAGCCCTCGCTCCACGCTTGAAGCGTTCTCAAAGTTGACGAATGTGTGCGGAACTACGCAGAGAACCACAGACTAAGCAGGACACGCCTTCTATCAGTGGAACTGCTGCATACGTCCAAGACGAATGTGCGCGGTGCGAAGGCGACAGCCACATTTTGCAAGCGACCCGCCCTGATGTGAAACGACGGTTGAAATTCCCCTGACAGTGCTTTCCCTTCGGGTTTCTTACCCTCCCCTCTGATAGGGGGCGACACGCGAACCCTACCCCTACCCCCCACGATTTCTGAGGGGGAGGGTGAGGTTCACTTCGTTCGGGAGCTCCCGAGCAAAGTGAACCCCACCCTTCCCCTCAGAAATCGTGGGGGGTAGGGGTAGGGTTCGCATGTGGCCCCCTATCTGAGGAACTGTGCCCGTCTCCGGGCCGGACTGTCCAGTTCCCGTCTGCCGCCGCCCCAATGCTCCAGTCCAAGAGCTCGTCTGCGGGCCCGTCGGCCCCCGTTCTCGTCCGCCGCCGCACCACCCAGTTTGCACCACGTAGCTCGCACCACGCAGATCGCGCCACACAGCTTACACCACACAGCTTGGGCCACGTTGAGCACCTCGTAGATTCCACAGCCCAGGGTGCACCGCATAGCTTGCACCGCATAGCATTCACAACATCGTGTGCACCACACAGCTTGCCCCACACAGAATGCACCACCTAGCTTGCACCGCATAGCTCACACTACATAGCCTA